AATAACCCCCCTCTCTGAACTGGCTACATCACTCTGCTCTCCTCCCCACTGAGAGCTGGGGTGTGGGGAGCGGACTGGCGCCTCATCCAGGTGGGGGTACACACTGCTGGGGGTGGAGGGGATCCCCATTACCTGTAAAGCGCTTTGAGTGGAGGGTCCAGAAAAGCACTATATAAGTGTAACCAATTATTATTATTATTATTATATGAACTAGGTCATGATTCTGATGGGGTTTTTTTGGTACTCCTAGACAGCTGACCAGTTAAAGCTTTTCCACAGACTGTTACTGTAAACACACAGTCCTAGTCTTTCTCAGTTAGTCTGATGGGATGTCACAACTTTGGCATGCCAACTCTGTTTGACAGCTTCTCTTTCATCAGCAACGTCTTGTCTTGGCCAAAATTAAAATTAATAAAGTATCTGCCCAAGACAGGCGGATCAAAGTGGCACAGTGTTTAGCGCCCTAGGTTCAGTTCCAGATCTGGGGTGCTGTCTGGGTGGAGTTTGCATGTTCTCCCCATGTTCACAGATGTTTCCTCCCACAGTCCCAAAGACATTCTAGTAGGTTAATTGGGTTCTGGGAGAATTGGTCCTGGTGGTTGTGTGAGTGTGTGTCTGTGTGTGACCTGGGATGGACCCTGTCTTGCGCCTGCTGCTTGCTAAGATAGTCTCCAACTGCCCCACAACCCTGAATTAGATGAAACTGTTAGAAAATACCCAGGCTTCCGTCAAGAAACAGCAGGATGGGATCCTGGGATCAGTTAATTACTAACTGCTTAACGGGCTGGATGGACCTCTTTGTAACCTATCTAATGTTCTTATTTAGTGATACAACCTGGGTGGACTGGAGCACGTGGACAATTGCTGTGCCCCCTGTACAGATGTGAACCCACAATCCACCTTTCCTACGATAAAAGGTTGCCCAGCTCTCACCATCCAGACCATGACGTAGGAGAAGATGGCTATCCAGAGGGTGGACATCAGGAAGGTCACCATGAACCACTTGTGCCAGCGTGGCAGGATGCAGTTGGGCACAGTGCAGTAGAGCAGCAGAGACAGGGGCCAGGATACCAGCCACTTCACCCGGGCACACAGCCCCACTGCGGGTACAGAGCAGAGGAGAGAGAGTATCAGACACTGCACGGGCACACAGCCCCCCTGTGGGTACAGAGCACAGGAGAGAGAGTATCAGACACTGCCCGAGAACACAGTCCCCCTGTGGGTACAGAGCAGAGGAGAGAGAGTATCAGACACTGCCCGGGCACACAGCCCCCCTGCGGGTACAGAGCACAGGAGAGAGTATTAGACACTGCCCGGGCACACAGTCCCCCTGCGGGTACAGAGCACAGGAGAGAGAGTATCAGACACTGCCCGGGCACACAGTCCCCCTGCGGGTACAGAGCACAGGAGAGAGAGTATCAGACACTGCCCGGGCACATAGCCCCCCTGCAGGTACAGAGCACAGGACAGAGTATCAGACACTGCCCGGGCACACAGCCCCCCTGTGGGTACAGAGCAGAGGAGAGAGTATCAGACACTGCCAGAGAACACGGTCCCCCTGTGGGTACAGAGCAGAGGACAGAGAGTATCAGACACTGCCCGGGCACACAGCCCCCCTGCAGGTACAGAGCAGAGGACAGAGAGTATCAGACACTGCCTGAGAACACAGTCCCCCTGTGGGTACAGAGCAGAGGAGAGAGAGTATCAGACACTGCCCGGGCACACAGCCCCCCTGTGGGCACAGAGCAGAGGAGAGAGAGTATCAGACACTGCCCGGGCACACAGTCCCCCTGCGGGTACAGAGCACAGGACAGAGTATCAGACACTGCCCGGGCACACAG